AAACCTACATTAGTAATAGTAGTTATAATTAAGAAAAGAAAACTTTAAAAATATAACAATATTTCATCATACAAAAAAAAACTAAAATTGGAGAATAGAAATATGTAGGTATAATCTACTGTACTGCTCTTATACATAAGTATTTGCAAATATATTTGAAGCTAATTGAATAACTTTGAGGTTGGTTTTATATAAAAGATTATGGGTTGTTTTAAAAATATAGTCCATTTTTTGTTTCTTTTTTTTTACTGGAATAGTGCAAGTTAAGAATTTAAGTTTTCAGAAAAGACAATGCCATATTTTTGAGTTTGTTTAAAATGCATTGATATGATTTCTTGTGTTTGACTAAAATTTTTTTTTTAAATTATTGTTCATTTCAAAAAGGAAGTTTGAAGTAGTTTAATTTAAACTCATATAATATAAGAACCATATTTTTAAATACAGTTATGCCATATCATTTACAAGAGCCAACAACTTGCTTTCATGCACATAAAAGAAACTAAACACAACTGATCATAATCTCTAAAGTATATTTATTTGATTTTATTTAGCTCAAACAACTCAAGCTTATATAGATTAATTGTTATGGTTTCAGTTTTGTTTTCTGAACAAACGTATTTTCATTGTGACAGCTTAGAAAACATCGAATTGGAGCAAATCACTATGTATCATCAGTATTGGCTTATTGTTGTTTTAAAATATATATTATTACGTTTTAATATTTTGGAAATGATAAACAGAAATATTAATCCTGAACACTGTGTCAAATCTTTTGGTATCCTAAAACGAAAATGTTACAGTTTTATCGGTTACTAGATAAACTGATTTTACTCTGAGAAAGGTAAGATATTTTACAAACTGGTGTAACCCAGAAAGATAATGAATGTTTTCAGAATTATTTTCTTTTTATATATCATCACTTAATGTTTTTGGTTCGTAATTAAGTATAAATACATAGTGCTGAAACTTCTAAATTAAACTAAGTAACAACAATGTAACATTAAATAAGTAGTGTTTTAATTATAAATAATTGTTCTGTTTTATTGTTTGGAGAGGCTCACTTAATAAATATACTTGCTCAGATTATAATATTATTAAGAGCAATATTTTTTATGCTTATTGATTATTATTGTGCAAGTTCCTAAAAATAAATAATAGTTCTGTAATGGTGCTAATCAAATAATCAAATTTTTTTAATAGATTTTGAGCTCATTCCCAACCTTTATCTCTCTTAATGTATCATGTCACCGTATATTTTAGTTTGAATTTTTAAATAAATTGCGGGGTCGAGTGAGTGTGTGTAATTATACAAATAAAGTGTTGTGGGTCTATAATGAAATCGTCATAATTTATTTATTTCTTCAAAAATACTACAAATATTTTTTTTTTTTTGTACATTTGTATTATAATAATACTTTTAGTTAGATTCAACCACTTAAATTATTCGTACAAATTATACATATATAAAAACATATGTTAAGAATAATTTAAGTAAATGTTGAATTTTCATATTTAAAAAAATGGGGGAGGAAGGTTATGTAAAAAATGTCAGGTAAGCTTTGTTGGAGAAAAATATTAATAACAACTATTTTACCTGCAGATTCACAATTCAGATTTCGTTCACTTTCCGTATTTTTAGGCAGGGGGTGGTCTGAGTCTGATTGAGCTTCCGAGCAATGAAGTTATTTGGGCCTTTCGAAACTGATTTCAAATTATAATTTGAGAACAATAATGCACAGTTTGTTCCGTTTTGACCAAAAACTTATTGAAACGGAAGTTACAAAAAACCCAAATTATAATCACTAAACTATTTTATGCAATTACTTGACCTGGTGGTTAGATTACTCGACTTGAAATCATAATATCGCAGGATAGAAACCCGTTGTCTAATGTACTTGCCCTTTTAGCTAGTTATAATATGATCATCAATCTGTTGGACATATATTATGTTATGCGGATTAGACGACTTAATTTTTTACACATATATACCCATGAGGTGGACATATTTAAAACTTACAACTTTGCACATGAAAGTTTATATAATTTGTAATTTCATAACTTCTCATATTTTTCTGAAGTTAACATCAGTTAAGTATATCAGACCAAATGTAAACACTAGTTTCATGCCTTAATCTGCACATGGCTTTTACTACACCGGTAATGTATCGTTTTCATGTAAAATAAAATGTTTTGAATAATTAAGTACTCTGACTTTGTTATATCGACATTTAAAGGTGAATACCACTATGGGGAATGATACTTGGTCTTAATGGCAGGGTGATCTTGAGAGCCACTGTTCTAATGAGGATAATGCTAGCATTCCATCAAAAAGATTTTGTTATGATTCCAGAATAACAATATTAGTTCAAACTGAGTTTCACCAAGATGATAAATTTACAGTGTCATGAGGAATTCTTTTTTTTTTTTATGCAATAAGAGACTGGTTATTTACATGAGTTAAGCTGCAATAAAAATAGAAAAGTTTTTCCTACACTTCAAACCTTTAATTATAAGACCTTGCAGAGTCCATTTGGAGGAAAGGTGCTCAGATCCAGAAATATCAAACAGTAGGTGAGGAGGTGGAGGAGGAGGACATGACCATTCGGTAATAACTCTGTAAAAAGAGGAAAAGGGAGTATTTAAAAGAGTAACATTGCTAAATTTATTGTCTTTAGATCTAATACAGTATATGGAATGCATCATTGATGAAATAGGTGTAATGATTTGTGTTACTTCTTTTGGACTTCATGTTATATATATTTCAAGCATGTGTATAAATTTTTACCACAAATTATCAAATGATTCTGAATGAATTTTATTGTATTTGTATGATAAATGTTCTTAATCATTTACATCCACATCAATTAAGAATGTTGAGTGTTTGGAGGTGTAGATATATAAATAGCATTCTTTTCGACCCCCACTCCCCAAAAATAGGACATAATGCGCCACCTCTGTTCATTGTCAACAATATTTGAGATGTATATTTTTCTGTGATACAAAAAGAACAGATTTTAATCTTAAGATTTCTCTCTGGGCTAAAATCCAATGCATTCTTCATTATTACAGGTCAGATATGTGTGTTTTGTGAACGATTTTTGCACTAATTTCTAAGTTAAAATCAGGTTTAGATCATCTTAGTTTGATAAATTTGTTAAAATCAAATAGCAAAATTATCCAAACGTCTAGTTTAGTTGGAAAACTGCCATAAGCTGTCAGGTGAGATCGCCTTACCATTGTCAGTTCCACTGGCAAACGTTGAAAGTTCAACACACAGCAATGGCGGCTGCTTGCGCATGCCGAAAATCACGTGACTTCCAATCTAGTGTTATTTATATCTATGGTTATGGTATTGGCCAAAAGACCTCATTGCGATTATGTGCAGCACACAGGATATGCGGTTAAGATAATGTTTATTCTAATCAATGGAAGCCTGTATAGGGCCAATAAGAAAATAATAATAATTTTTTGATTATCTTTATGTTGGTGTAATGTGACACAAACAATCAGTCGGTAGAAACGTGCTTCATTGGCATAAAGTATTATATTATTAACAATAATAATTGGTATATTACAAATGACTGTTAAAAATAGTATTTTACTCGATGCTTTGTGTGTATTGCACGCCGAAAAATAATGATTAATTTTTCTTTTCAAAATTATATCTAAATAAATGTTTTATGAACATGTTTTCTAAAAATTAATTATAATCTAGTAGCAATATAAGTATGGAGAATGACAGTCTTCTTTTTAGTATTTTACGAAAATAACATTTTTTATGTATAGTTGGTTATCTCCTGTAAGTATTGCTTGAGTAGCATTTAGACTTCTGTATATTTTTTTGTTCAAATGTTGTTCTTGATAAATCCTTATAGATTGAAACATGAAAAAAAAAACTGATTCTCAAAGACATATTCATACTTAACCAACTGTATGACCCTGTAAATTATTAACTGTGATGGCAAAGGTAGTGAATTTTATTATGAGTTTCGGAGTCTTATCTTTGGATTGCCCTTTTGTTTTTGGCTTTGTTATCCTGCTGAGCTGAAGAAGCACGCTTAAATTTAGGTACTTTCAACATTAAAATGTGCTGCGGGTTATCGTAGAGTTGTAGCTGAAGGTTCTGATTAGTCAAAATTTGGTGATTTTGCGTCGGTGTGTCTCCTTGGCAACCAAGTAAACGTAATAGAGAATTTTAGCCAATGATAGCCCATTGTGTAGCTTTGTGCTTAATTACAAACAAACCACATCAATAAGGAGGTGACCTCTTTGTTTGAGGTAACAGTTTCTATTTTATTTTTAGTTATGGTTTTGTTTATGTACTTTTTCGTTCAATATTTCAGTTCAGCTATATTATCATTTGCCTTTAAAATCCTATCCTAGCTCACCTGCCTCCTAGTGTATGTTAGGTACTAGTCATTTTAATATAATGAAACTAAAGGTTCCCCTAGTGGTGAAGTATGAATACTAAGTTCATCTATGATTATGTAAACAAAATGCTATGTTGTTAGTTATGTAATATATATATATATATATATATATGTGTGTGTGTGTGTAGTTTTGCGTTCTGACAAAGAAGCATAAAGCCTATGATATGAAGTTAAGCAAGATTGTCAAGAGGAGCTAGAATAGAGATTTAAGTTATATTTGTTGATTATTAAAAGAAATAGGTTATTGCAGATACTCCTTTGATTATTGTTTGTGACTTAATGTTATTTCGAGAAGTGCTTAACATTAACTCAAGATATATTTGTCATTAGACAGAAGTATTATACCTATTATATTTTTAACACTACGTTTTTTATTTTTCCTTTTGGGTTTTTCAAGAAGAAAAAAAGAGTGAATAATATTATTTCAACCACATAAATTATATTATAATCCTGCTTCGCCATTTTGGAAAAGGCGTTTACATCATAAGAATTATTGTTGTAACAGATGACTTGTATGAATATTGTTCTGACCACTACTGTGTTAGTTGTATTCCAGCTGAGTTGATGAGCTCTGTATTGAGCGAAGGCGTCGTCGGCAATGTATATGATAAAAATAATGAGGTTTAAGTGATATTATACATTCATCTTCAACTTGAAAACCCTAAAGGTTGGTATAACGAATATACTATTAGAAAATTTAATAGACCTAATACTTATGTCTGTTGACTGATGTAATTAATTATGACGATGTTTTGCCAGCTTAGAAAAGGACATAGCTTTTCCTAAGGATGTTTTTCAGCTGCACAGTTATATTTTAACTTCATCATTTTCAAATACTTGACACCTTATTGCACCTCATATGTACAGGCCTAACAAAAAATGAAGAATATTCTAGTAAATACATTTACTTATCAACTTTGGAATGGAATTTTATTACCTTAAATATATTTTTTTAATACTTATCCACTTGAACTTACTTATATAGATGAATTTTCAACTGCACAAATATTTTTACAGGTGCACAATTTGTGTTCAACTGTACACTAAGAAAACCCCTGGAAAAGGCGTTCGCTCCATAAGCGCTTGGTATTTGTTCTGTGTGCAATCTAACTAATTAAGTTTGTGCCCCCCAGTAGCACAGCGGTATGTCTGCGGACTTACAACGCTAGAATCCGGGTTTCGATACCCGTGGTGGGCAAAGCACAGATAGCCCATTGTGTAGCTTTGTGCTTAATTACAAATAAATAAAATTAAGTTTGTTTCTCCTATCGGATTTTCCCCGATTTGTTATTATTATTATTATATGGTATGATGTGATATTAACAGTGTTGATTATTGTAAGATTTATGTTTGAGATATTTAATTACGAAGCCCTGGCCATGATTAATTTATTGATTATTAATTATTGATATCTTGTAAAACTTGACCTTTATTTACTAAATTCATAATTTACCTTACGGTGGTAGTGACACGTCAATTAATGCATTACATCTCTTTGCAAATTGGCTGGAAAGTGGGCATAATGATACTGAAGTTTTTGTTTACGTTTGTTTCTTGGTGTGCCAACGGTAAATTTACGGACTTACAACACAAAAAATCCGAAGTTCGATTTCCCGCGGTGAATGGAGTGCAGATAGCCTTTTGTGAAAATGTGTTCTACGAAAAACAAAAATATTTCATTTCAGTGCACAATAAGTCAAAATACAGTAATCCAGCTACGTCATTTATTTTTCTAGTTCTACTTATGTTAATTTAAACTTTACCACAGTACAGTAATTCGCTGAAATATGAATACAGCTTTACGAAAAACAACTTTTCTGTTTCAAACCATCACTTTTCACATTTCCACTGCGCAATATTTTTACTTGATATGTTATTTTTTAATGCTTATTGGAACCAACTTTTATATAAAACGTAAGTAAACAAATTAGCAGACGAAATGTTTTAAGTTTGGTCGATAAATTGCAAGCTTATTCGACGAAGTGAGCACAGTCCCTAATAGTTTCGTTATATAGTTGAAGTCTGAACATCCTTGGGACTACTAGGAGGTTAATAGCACTGGTAGGCAAGTTTAGTAACGTATTACAAATGTATGCAGATTTAGTTACTCTTTGTAACAGTTAAACCACGAAGAATATAAAGATAAAAGATTTGTGTGAAACTGTTTGTTTATAATGAAGAAATATAAAGATGTTTAGTGAAGTTCAAATTGGTGTAAAAACCCTCAAGTTTCGTTCCATTTCTAGGCTCGGCATGACCAAGTGGTTAGGGCGCTCGACTCACAATCTGAGGGTCGCGGGTTCGAATCCCCGTCCCACCAAACATGCTCCCCCATAACCCTTGGAGGCATTATAATGTGATGGTCATCCCACTATTCGTGGGTAAAAAGAGTTAGCCAAAGAGTTGGCGGTGAGTGGTGATCACTAGCTGCCTTCCCTCTAGTCTTACACTGCTAAATTAGGGATGGCTAGCTAACGCAGATAGTCCTCGTGTAGCTGATCACAAACCAAACTTGTTCTGTATCGTCGGTTTTGGTCTGAACCAAGACCCAAGATTTTGTTAATAGTTAATGTTAAAATAATGACCGCTTAGCAAAATTAAAACGCTAATTCTAAAGTGTGTGTCATTAAACTATTAACTTAGTGGCATCAAAACCAGTCCAAAGCCATGATTTGTTTGTACTGAGAAAAACACTACATACGACTCAACTTAAGAGAAAGTACTGTGCTTTTTAACCATTCTTTACCCTTCTATAACTAGTACATTTTTAAACACATTTTAAACTTTATGCGTGTACTTGACCTGGAAATGCGCTATCACCATAGGCTTGTGAATTATAAAGTTATACACGAGAGAGTAAAGGGAGTGACTTAGCTATTTATGGCAGCTATATTTCATGGTTAGCACTTTCTTAGTGCGGGATTACCCGTGTAGTTGTCACAAATGGGCAGTAGGGTAATCTAGTAGTTGCAATTGGCTGTTCTATGGATTAATGCTTTTTGTGTGAGTGTTTCCTGATTTCTTATCCGTTGTTTTGAGAGTCAAAATGGAGAAGGCTTGTTCGAGAAACTGCTGAGATTTGAATTTATTTTCATAATCAAAGTTTTCTTAAGTTTGCGCTCTTTTTATATGATATTAATTTCAGCCCAGCCTAATTCTATCTTATCTTCGACTTCAGTTTAAATTTAATTTTTTTCTTTTATCTTATGCTCAGTTTCAGTTAGTTTTGTTTGATTATTTTATTTTGAAAAGTTTCTTTATTTGTGAAAGTTGTCTTGAGGGTTCCTTTAGTCACCTCAAAACCTGTTTAGCTTCTGCAAACTAATTTTGGATATTTCTGTTATTAGTGGAAATAACTAATTGTGCTGTATATTCCTTAATCAGAATATCACAAATACATTGTTACCTCAGTAATTGCATTTTTCCAATATTCTCAGGAATACCCGATCCACAATCCTAAAGCTTTGAAATTATGCCTAAACTTTCATACAAAGGAAGTTTAAGTGGGTCAGTAGCTGCTTGAAGAGGAGGACGAGGCTAAGCTAATAATGAGTGCCGTGCTTCTCAACTGGCACAATCTTTAAGATTCACTTTCAGATGCTCGATGAGGAAGTTGCCTGCCTGTGCGGAACAGTCACACACAATTCTCAAACATGGGAAAATAAGAATCTAAGCACTTCTTAGGATGGCGTGGGATATTCGTCAAAAGCCAGTGTTAGATGTGCTATTTCACAATGAAAGTTCCACGTCACTATTGTTGCATATCTTGACATGATGAAGAACATTTTCTTCCTAACATAGAAAGAATGGCTCTTCCCCCCTTCCGCCGCAGCAAGATAAGTTGGGACTCTACCGTATTTACCTTACTGCTGGATTGGCAATTTGGATCCTAATGGCGTTCAAGGAC